GCTGGAAAGCTGGTCTCTAGGGCTCATAGAGAAAGCAGGTGCGTGGGCACGCAGCCACGTCCACGGGCGTAATCACACCTTGCTGGGACGCTCCAGGGCGTATTTTGGCTCGATAGCGGAAGTGGAGCAGCCCCAGAGAGAAAAACCGAAGAGAGGGGAGCGGAAGAACAATACATCCCCAAGACTTCTTCGCAGTCCAAAACTTTCGGCCCATTTTGGCGATGCAAGCCTTGCCGGGCGGGAGGCAAGACACACGTCTTCAGAGAGCGGCTTCCCAGGAGCTTTTGAGAGAGGCTGGGGGAAAGCGGTGGTCAGCCGGCATCCGAGACCCGAACCCCTTTATCTGGGGTAGTAGCTCAGAAAAGTTAAGCTTCGTTTCCAGGTTGCACGGCTGGAAAACGCCTTGTAGAAGTCTGGCCCGGAGCTGGCGCTGGACACGAGGCACTTGGCGGGTTGTGTGACCCTCCAGGCGCCCGAGACACCTTCTCTGCACACGCCCGCCCATGCCCTGGGGGTGACCCCGCGTTTCCCCTGCTCCCGGAAGCGTCGCCTTCCTGGGCACCCACCTCGGTTGACGATCTTGCCGAAGAGGTGGGGCCCTGGAGCAGTGGGGCAGTTCCAGCGGCGATTCCGGAACTGCCACTTGCACTCGCGCACGGCGCTCTGCAGCCCCCCGCTCACGCTGTGCAGGATCCCCGGATTTTGGCGTATCAGACGCCGCTGTTTGCGGCTCAACAGCTGCAGACTGGGCTCGAGTACCAGTTGCAGACTTTTGGAGTCCGTCAGCAGGTTCGTGGAGGAGGCTACGTTCACAATACCCCTGGTGGGACATATGATAGCTCAGGTTCAGGACGGGGACCCGCACCTTAACCATAAAAACTGTGCCACCCGGTCCTCTTCCTGGCGGTACGTGCCTGGAGAGGGTGGCGGGAGATCAATAATGCGGTAATGACTTTGCGCTCCCAGGCTCACTAATTTAAAGAACTGGGCTTCCAGACTTGTGTGTGCCCAGGAGTCCCAGGGCTGCTCGCCTGAGCCCTAGGTCCGGAGACAGAGAGGGCACCCGAGGACGGAGTTTCTACCTTGGATCTCCGAGCCTCTTCCGGTCAGCCTGAGCGAGGTAATAATGGCCTGCCATTCTTGCCCATCCAAGGCGTGAAATGCTTAGGAGTTCCCACCCTCTTCTCCCCTCCTTTCTAAGCGAACGCCTGGCCCTTCACTTCCCGAGGTGGGAAAACCTGTGGTGAGGCCACCGCCGTGAGGCTGGAGTTGGCGCTCGAACGGGAAGGGCGGTGCTAGATGAGAGTGGGCTCCCTGCCTGGGGTATCTTAGGCCTCCGCGGGCGGATCATTCGCCCCACTTCTACAGAGCTGGAGTCTGGGGTAACTCCACGCCAGATCTCCCTTCGGTGTCGTCGCGGAGGGAAGTCAGAACGGGGAGGGAGCCTGTCGGCGGACGGATCCCAGAGCGTGGGAGCTGGGTAGGGTTGGCCCCTGGCTGTGTGCCGCGGGACAAGTGGCGACCCCGCACTAGCTCACTTACCACCATCGGCCACTGCTGTTGGCAGCCAGGGCTGCGGGCAGAGCGGCCAGCGCCAGCAGCAGCGTAGCAGAAAACCAGCCAGGCAACAGCGCCCAGAGCCCCATGGCCTGCCTGGCTTTGCCCGCTCTGTGCTACAAGTTGCGGCGACTTTGGCTGTTGCCCGCGACGGTGGGACAGGACGCGGCGGTGGCGGCAGTGGCGAGAGTTCTCAGTCTGGCTTTAACAACCCTGGGGGCGGGCGGCGGACAGCATGGCTCGCGGTCCAGGCTGGTGGGCTGAGGCGGCCACGGCGGGCGGCACCGCCTCTTATAGTTGCGGCGCTGGCTGAAATGACGGGAGGAGGCTGCCCCACCGGGCCGCACTGTGACACCAGGGCGCACCGGTTAGGGGCGCAGACAATGGGCAGCGAGCGGGACTGTGGTTCCCGCCCGTCTGAGCTGAGAGCTGACGGGCTGGCCGTCGGGGCTCACCCCCGCCCCCTGCCCGGTGGCCCCCGCCTCCGGGCCTGCACTGGCCGCGGACCCCTCCCCTTGGGACACCCTCCCACGCGAGCCCGCCTCACTCCGCTTAGCGTCCGGAGCCCGTCGGGGACTAGCATCCGCCAGGGGGCGCGGCGAGCGTGTGCTGCGGGTAGAGCCAGCCAGGGGCCCAGCCCGCCTCGCAGCCGTGGGGCTGTCCCCTCGACGTCACCCCGGGCCCCGCCGGCGTCTCCTCTCTCCCCCATCCTGAATGTCGGAAGGAAAGCTGTGGTTCTGGGCAGCGACTCCGGGGAGAAGCTTAACCGCCCAGGATCCCTCGATGGCTGGACAGAGAAGGAAAAGGGGGAGACGGGGGCGTGAGTGCGGCTGTGGTCAGGGAAATCCCGGGTATGAGTTGTGGGGGTGAGCTGACCAAAAGGATCCTAGCGGTGGAGAGAAACCTGAAGCAGCAGGCAGTTTGTTCATGTGCGTCAGAAGAAGTGCACAAGTGGTGCTCTGTGTGTGTGTGTGTGTGTGTGTGTGTGTGTGAGAGAGAGAGAGAGAGGAGAGAGAGAGAGAGACAGGGAGAGAAGTGGGACAATGTGAATACGGGTGGGAGTGAGAATGTGCTGTGTTCTGAGGGTGCATCCTCCTGTGTGTTGGTACGTGCAGAAACTCCTTGTTCTGACTAAGGATGTTAGGAAACTTTCCAAAGAATTTTGGAATTTAGCTCAAGTCAGAAAGGGTCATGGAGTTATCTTGTCACAGTCACCGCCCGGGGCAGTGTGTCAGAAAGGAGGTGGCAACTGTCAGAAGGAGACGCAGAAGCATGATTGAGGGATGGAGGGTGTCTGGACTGTGTGTGGAGTGGGTGGATGAGCGTGAGCATGGGAAGATTAAATATGTGTGTATGCGTCACTCTGTTGCCCTTTGTACCTCGTGGCATCCTATGGTGTGTCACACTGTGGCATGTGTCAACCAGTGCATGTCATTGGGGGAGAGACCCAAGCCTACAACCAAGGTGGTATGGAGGTGAAACCAACCTGGAGTGGCTAAGTCTCTGAGGCCTAGGCTCAGAAAGGATGGGATGTGGTGTGGATGTCCAGTGTACATATGGTGATGGAGAGGACTGGGAAGACACAGGTTGCTGCCTGCATTGAACTTGTGTCTCCATGTGTTTGCTTCTCTTTGGATTTTTCTTTTTCTTTCTTTTTTTTTTTTTTTTTGAGACGGAGTTTCACTCATGTTACCCAGGCTGGAGTGCAATGGCGCGATCTTGGCTCACCGCAACCTCCACCTCCTGGGTTCAGGCAATTCTTCTGCCTCAGCCTCCTGAGTAGCTGGGATTACAGGCACGCACCACCACGCCCAGCTAATTTTTTGTATTTTTAGTAGAGACGGGGTTTCACCATGTTGGCCAGGATGGTCTCGATCTCTTGACCTCATGATCCACCCGCCTCGGCCTCCCAAAGTGCTGGGATTACAGGCTTGAACCACTGCGCCCGGCCTCTCTTTGGATTTTTCTGCCACCTTTCTGTCTTCCCCCAAAGCTTTGGTTCCCACCACACTGGGAGACCCAGAGTGCCTGTGACCATCTCATCCATTGTACACTTTTCTCTTCTCTCCCAGGGACTCCTACTCAGCTTTAGGGCCACTTTGGCCTCCTATTGAAGAAGTGGTTGCTGTACCCTATATGGGGAATAGGGGGCACTGCCAGCCTGGTTATCACGCCCCACCACCACACACAGATGGCCCCTGGAAGGAGGGAAGACCTTTACATCTCTTCTCTCTCCCCATTTTACAGAATTAAAATAGATCAGGCAGTTGTCCAAGCTCCACATCTAATAAATCAATGGTAGAGCCAGATTAAAACCCAGACCAATTTGACTCAAAGCCCATGCTCTTCCTATCTTACCAGCTGCTTGCCAGTGTGCAGGAGTTGCAGGCTGGGAACGCTTCTCAAAATTGATAGATAGGTAAGCATAATTTTTAGGGCCTTCTTGCCTCCCTTTTGAGTTCTAGCTCTCACTGTTTTCATCACCCTTGTTTTTTGGGATGCCTTCTGACTGAGAAATTTCCCCAGGCCTGAACCTAAACAGTCTCAAGTCCCAGAAATGACTAGGCTTCCCTTCCAAGGCAGGAAAATCACTCTAAGGAATAAATCCAGGTCAGTTTAATTAATATTCCTGGGCACTTGTGTTTTAAATGAGATGTATATTAACCCAAATGAAGCCTGATGAAAGTTATTTTAGATAGAAATGTCCTCTCCCCCCCTTTTTTTTTTAGATGGAGTTTTACTCTTGTTGCCCAGGCTGGAGTGCAATGGCACGATCTCAGCTTATTGAAACCTCCACCTCCCAGGTTCAAATGATTCTCCTGCCTCAGCCTCCCACGTAGCTGGGATTACAGGCATGTGCCACCATGCCCAGCTGATTTTGTACTTTTAGTAGAGACAGGGTTTCTCCATGTTGGTCAGGCTGATCTTGAACACCTGATCTCGTGATCCACCCACCTCAGCCTCCCAAAGTGCTGAGCCACTGTGCCTGGCCTTCTTTCCCTTTTTTTCCCCTTTGCCCAGCCTAGTATATCTGGCCCATCCAAGGATTCACCCCTGAGGGAGAAGGTGTACTGATCCAGCATCCTCCACAGATCCAAACCCAGTAGCCCCCACAGAAAGCACCCGGCATAGATGGCTCAAGTAAATGAACAATGTACCATGGAGAGTCTGTCCTTTATCCCTTAGGAGTTTCTCCTCACTGGGGCCTGAGTCACATCTTTTGGCCTGGTGGATTGATACAACACCATGAGGGTGGGGAGCTGGCTGGAAGATATGGGAGCCCTGTCTGTGACCACTGGTGTCAAGCAGAGGTGGGAAGAGGGGAAAGGAGCTGCTGTGCTTTGTTCCAACATTCCACCTACCAGGAGGAGGGGGAAGAGGGGAAGGCCCCTCGGTCTGGGTCACAGTGTGTATGGCCTGGTTCACATTTCTTTTTCTTTTTTCAAAATGTGAAATGCTTCATCAATTTGCGTGTCATCCTTGTGCAGGGGCGATGCTAATCTCTGTATCATTCCAGTTTGAGAATACGTACTGCCAAAGCAAGCACCCAAATTTCTATTTAGATCAAATCATCATGTTATCAACTGTCCCCTCTTTCTTTCCTGCGTCATCCGTTTGGCTCTCTCCTGGAACATACTCATAAGCATGCAGACATGCTGCAATAGTACCCCTCTGATATACCCCAAAACTTCATTAGACCCCACGTTACTGCCCAAGATTGCTCCGTTTCAGTGCTGCATTTTACTGCAAAACTCAAAATGGTTGATTTAATTACTAGAGCCAATTTCTTTCTTTCTTTTCTTTCTTTTTTTTTTTTTTGAGATGGAGTTTTGCTCTTATTGTCTAGGCTGGAGTGCAATGGCGCAATCTTGGCTCACTGCAACCTCCATCTCCCGAGTTCAAGCAATTCTCCTGCCTCAGCCTCCCGAGTAGCTGGGATTATAGGTGCACACCACCATGCCCGGCTAATTTTGTATTTTTAGTAGAGATGGGATTTCTCCACATTGGTCAGGTTGGTCTCGAACTCCTGACTTCAGGTGATCCACCCACCTCGGCCTCCCAAAACAGAAGTCTGATTAGTTCAACCCTCTGCTCAAAATTTTCCAGTGAGTCCCCATCTCACTCAAAATAAAGGGGCCTTCCTTCCTGAGCTTCACTGACTATCACGCTCTCCATTGTGAATTCCTCCCCACCAGCCCCGCTGGCTTCTTTGCTAATCCTTTGAACCAAGCATGCTCCTTTCTAAGGGTCTGTGCACCTGCTTTTCTGTCTTCTAAAATGCCCTTCCTCAGATCTCTCCATGTATTTGTTCCCTCACTTAGTTTTTCCTCTCCCTTTGTAAAATAGAATCCCACTACTAATGTCCTTCACCCTGCTTCATTTTTCTCTGTATCAGTTTTGACCATGGATGACTTTAAAGGCTTGAAGTTGAAAATCGGTAGCAATCCACCCCCTGGAATAGGGGTAGAGGTGAGATCTTAGAAGGGAGAGGGGCTTTGCTTTGACTTTGGGATCTGGTGAGGAAGCAGGGGACCAGGGAGAGTTTGTGGGCAGAGGAGCCTACCCTCCTTTGAAGCACGCACGGGCAGCACTGCCCCCTTGGTCTGGAAAGGCACAGCCCATCCATTAGGCCTGAGTAGAGAAGGGGGCAAAATTCTAAGGTAATCCCACAGATTTGTTGGGGTGAACTGCTGAAAGTGGGGTCTTCCTGAAAGTCCAGTATACCATCGGCCTGTGGGCCCTTTGGTGCCTCCAGGTGGTGGCCTACGGTGCTGCAGCAGAAGGCGCATGAGGCAGAGGGTGGGCAGCGCAGCTGAGCTCACCACCACGGGCGCATCCATCCCTCCTGGGTCTATAATTTGGGTTCCCCGGGCCTGGCCGCCCCTATCAGCGGCTCAGCAACAGATGAGTCACCCGGGACCCCGGGCCAAGGCAAACATGGGGGGAGGAGGAGGAGAAAGCTTCTGAGGCTTTAGCCACCGCCTCAGTTGCTCGACATCCCCCAATCTCCAGGGGCCCCCACTCTTTTCTTTGACTCCCGCCCTCCAGAGCCCCAGTGTTCTTCCCACATTGCTCTCGTTACACCCTCCATGCCTAGGATGGGAAGGGCAGCCCTCCAACCTTCTCATCTAGGGGAAGGGACACCAGTTTGCTCCTAGTCCCTCCCTGCAGTGATGAAAGCCCCCCATTTTCCCCCTCCTGTCATTGGCCCCAACCCATGTCAAGGTCTCTCTGGTTCCTGCCCCTCCCCTTTCCTGGAGCTGGCCGCGTGCTTGGGGTATTAGGCAATGGGTGTGCACCCACAGCCCTCTCCAGGCCCCGCCTGTCCGACCGCCCTCTAGCTGCCTGCGGGTCAGTGCTCAGGCCAGCCGGTCGGGCTGAGGGCACTGTGGGCCAGCTCAGGCCACCCAGTCTGCCGGCCTGTGGCCTCTTGTCCCAGATATGGGCTTCAGTAGAGAGAATGAGCAGGACTCTGGGTCCTTGGATTTGGAACAGTCCCACTTGGGGAGACCTGGGGTCACTAGGAAGTTGAAACCTATTATAGTAGTTCTGTCCTTCAATGCTTCTTGGCACCTGACTGCATGCTGGAGACTGACAAGGGTACAATCAGAAGGCAAAAAATAATCCCAAACCTAAGGGGGACCCAGAGCTGCATGGAGAAATACAGATGTCCATGAGGTCCCCATGGAGAAGAGAGGCTTAGGCAACCTCATTCCCCTATTCCAAGGACCTGGCAGGAATCCCAGGCTGACTGCAGGAGAAAGGATAAGGACACTGGCAGATCATGAATCCAGGTGTAAGGATGAAAACTATGAGATGGGGCTTGCAGATTCTGATGACCTCGAAAACCACACATGGTTTGGCTCTTGTCCTCTAAATGGGAAGAAGGGTCAGGAAATCTAGGGCTCCGTCTTCCCCATCCCAGAGGTGGGGAATCAGAGAAAAGCAACCTGGTCCAGGCTGTCCAGTGTCAGGGACCATGGCACTTTCACCTCCCCAGACTGCTCACAGCCTGACACATAACGGTGATCCATAAATATCCCAACAGATATAAGTCGCATGATCTCCTGTCTCAGACTGCTGTGCCCGCTATCCAACAGTGACCCATGCAGCATGGGCAGGACCTCCAGCAGCACAGGCTGGAGGCTGACTGCCCAGCAGAGCTGCACCGCCACCACCAAGGAAGAGGTGACTGTGGTTGTGGGTATCATCCCTGTGCCTCTGCTTGCTGGGGGGCAGTCTGAGTCAATGTGCCTGGGGCGTGTGGGGCCAGCCATGCCTTGGGCTGCGGTCTGGCAGGGGCGGGGGGGGGGGGCGGCTGGAAAGCCTGGGGCCCCTCTCTGGCAAAAATAGCCCGCAGTGGTTAGAGCTTCGAGGGTGAGTCAGGCGGGAGCACAGTGGCACCTAACCCCTTCGCTGCCACTGGATCTCCCAAAGGCAGTTTGCCTTTGCCTGTGCACCCCAAGACCAGGCTCTTTTCCGACTGCCCTTGGACTTGGCTCAATTTTGGATCCCAAGGCCCTCCTCATCCCATCAGAAGGAAGTCTGCAGTTTGGAGCAGGAATCCAGGCCACCCAAAGTGCAGACTGGGGAATCCCGAGAAGGGTAAGAGACCTCTATTGGTAAGCATCTCTGCCAGCAAGGAAGCATCAGGGCAGGCTGAGGATCTCTGGGGCTACCTGAACCTCCACCAGGGCCAAACTGAGGTGAAAGCTGACCCCTCCAAAGGGGCAGGCGCGAGGCTTGGAGGTGGGTGGGAACCAAGCTGCCCAGACCTGCGCTTCTCCTGCCTGCTCTGAGTGCCCTGGGTATGGGCACCACATGTGACTGTCTCACACTGAGAAGCCCAAAGACTGTCCGGCTCCATCTTCATCTTGTCAAAGGCACCTTCCAGCCACCCTGATCTCGGTGGAGAAACTGATGCAAAAAGAAGTGTTGAAAGATGTGGCCACTTGGGCCACATTCTGGCTCTCTAGGAAGGTTACTACACCCTCCCTGCAGCCTTGGTGACCCCAGAGCAGGTAAGAGGAACTCTGGCCACCTCCTTCTTCAGTGGGGCCAAGCCTGAACCCAGGCATCCGGGAGAAGGGGTGTGTGTGTGTGTGTGTGTGTGTGTGTGTGTGTGTGTACACTGGGAGGAGGGGGAGCGGCTTCGTTTGCCTGGTCAAGGCGGGGAGTGCAGGGTAGGGTGGGGAAGCCCCAGGCTCAGGGAGGGGCCGAAGCTCCGTCAGCCCGGCAGAGCCTCTGTGAGCTTGGCTCGAGTAGAGCCAGAGCCCCCAGTCCTTTGCTTGCCGGATTGCTAGCTCTCTCTCCTTCCCTTCCTCCCTCTCTTCCTCCCCACGGCCAGCGGAGCAGCGCTGGGGAAGCGGTGAAGAGGAGTGGCCCGGCCCTGGAAGAATGCAGCTCTGCCAAGGGGACAGAACCCAGCACAGTCTCCCCACGGATTAAGCAGGACTAGTGAAGCTCAGGCAACCCAACCGTGCCCGTCTCAGACCCCGCACCCAAACGACTGGAGGTAATTAGACCTGGGAAAGCAGGGAGGGCAGGGACATGAACACCGGGAAGAGACAGGCACGTGTGTAGTCAGACAGACAGACACGCATCCACCCACAGAAGCACGGAGATGCTTAGAGAGCCAGAGATATTGCTAGAGATTAAGACAGGGAATAAAGGAGTGCCCCCAGATTTAGAAAGCAATGAACTTGAGAGCGAAGGGGTGAGGACCAGACCGGTGCCTATGGAGGAGGAGAGCTTGTGGTTACGCAAGTGGGGGGTAGGGAAGAGGATTCAGTCTGCACCAAGGTCCCTTTTAGAAGGGAGCCAGGCTCCTCTTCCCACCTTTCCTGCACCTGGAGCCCCTCCTCTTTCCTTGCTGCTCAGGGAGGGTGCAGTGTGGGTGGGGAGCCCATTCTTAGACCTTTCTTATGGAGCCAGCTTGGCCTTGATGACTCCTGGAGGTGACAACCCCTTAGGTGGTGGGGAACCCCCTCCTTATCCCACTCCCTAGCACTTTGAGGGCTGGGAAGCTAGTCATGGGGCCCTGGAAAAGGGAACAGTAGGCGAGGTTGTGGAGCAAGTGTTTGTGAATCTGTGTGTCTGAGTTTGCATGTGAGTGTGTCTGTGTGCCGGGCTTTGTGTCTGATTGGACGGGGTTCCAGCGGTGCTCACGTGAGTCCTGAGCTGGGACTACACCTGGACTCTTCCTCTTTAAGACCTCCAAGCCTCAGGGACTCTGGGAATCAAGTGGTGATTCTTATTGTTTTGTTTGGGGAGGAATGAGAAGGGTCAGTAGGGTGGCATCGGTGGGTTAGGAGCCCGAAGAAGGGCATCACTTGGTTCCCCAGGCGAGCCGCCCTATTCCTGAACCCGCATCAAGTCTCCTTGTCCCGCAGGTCCTGATCGATCTGCACACCGGAGCCTCCGGGCTTCGACATGCTGGAGGAGCCCCGGCCGCGGCCTCCGCCCTCGGGCCTCGCGGGTCTCCTGTTCCTGGCGTTGTGCAGTCGGTGAGCAGTTCCCTCTGTCTCCCAGGCCACAGGAGAAGCA